TTCATTTATGTGTGAGCATTATACAGTGATTGTTTATGTTTGCTAAGAAATCATTTAATAAAATTCATGATTAATACTTGATAATTATGAGAGAAGTCATGTACTTTTCTTAACATGTTTTTCGGTAACATAATTACACAAGGTCCTAATCAATAATATTCCACTAATGGTAAATGAACGTGATTGATATCCTCAAGCAGATATACTTTAGTTTAGCGTGAAACTAAAAATCCTATGGTTAGACGACCTCACTTATCTTAACATGTTTTTCGGTAATGTAATTACACAGGGTCCTAATCAACAATATTCCACTAATGGTAAATGAACGTGGTTGATATCCTCAAGCAGATATACTTGAGTTTAGTGTGAAACTAAAAATCCTATTGTTAGACGACCTCGCTTATCTAACATCTTTGATACATCGATTGATTAGGCCAATTTTAATTACTTTGTTAAAAATATTACATGGTTAGATCAACTCATTCGATATTTTGGTTGACTATGGCAATTTTAATTGTGTTTTCAAAAGCATCATATAGTTAGACCACCTTCTTTATCAAACTTCTTTGATGTTATGATTGACTAGGTCAATTTTAATTGCCTTGTCAAAAGTAATCAATGGTTAAATCACCTCGTTTATCAAACCTCTTTGATATTTTGACTGACTAAATCAATTCTGACTTGTCAAAAGGATCCTTAGCTAGACCGCCAACCTGTATTTAGTCAAGGCAACTTGATCATCTAGCTTCTTGACTAATATATGACACTTTAAACAAATAGAATCACCTTGATTACCTAGTCAGTTCTTGTTGAAGAACATGTTGAGTCAATCAAACCACCATGCTCATCTAACTGATCCATGTTTAGTCGAGACACCTTGATCACGTAGTTTCTTAACTAGTTTATGGTGTTTTGATCAATAGAACTACCTCGACAATCTTTCTTGAAAGCATCACATTGTCTAGACCACCACGATTATCTAGCCAATTATGATTTTGTCAGAATACCGTGATTACCTCACGACTTGATTAAATTAAAATGCTTTACTCGGTATGAATCACCTTGACTACCTCGGTAATTATTGGTAAAGCATCTTATATATTGCTAGACCACATCGCTTATCTAGCAAAGAATTTAGTCATAATACCTCGATCACTTAGCAATCTGATTAAATTTTGGTGCTTCACTCAACAAGAATCATTTTGATTCTCTAGTCAATTTGTCTTGAGAAAACATCTTAGATGGTTGAGATTACTATGTTAAACTAACATTCTCATTATCTAAACCACCAGATTGTCTAGTAAACTGTTATTCAGTCAGGACACCTCGATCACCAAACTCACTTGGTTGATTTATAGTGCTTAATTTTGATGGGATTACTTCGACCACCTAGTTAATTCTTGTTAAGTTTTGATGGGTTACCTCAATTGCCTACCTGATTCCTATCGAAAGATGCACCTTGTATGGCTAGTTTGTCTCAATTAACTAGGCAATTTCTCAACCATAATACCTAGATGACCTAGCTAACCTCAGTTCAATTGAAAATGGTCTACTTCCAACAAATGCGTTGTGCTTTAGTGACACGATACACTTGTTGGGGTCTATTGTTAGCATCAATTTTTAATATTGCACATGTGAGATGTTCATTTGAATGATATGGAATTATATTTCACTCATATATAGCTTCTCATAGTCCAAGGGATCAATAAAAACCCTTCCACGCACGTTTCACCAAAAATCAGGGTTTGACTTGGCGCCCCCTACTAGAGGTTGGCGTAGCGTAGCTCCCCAGCGCTAGGGTCTGGCACCCTAGTGCCCGTGTCTGGCGTCTCAGAGCTAAGGACTACCACCCAGGTGTCAGAAATCAGGGAGGGTGGTGCCCGGGCGCCAGTTCTGGGCACTCTAGTGCAAGTATGCAGTTTGGTAGTTGATTTTTTGGACCATTTTAGCCAAATCAAGCAACATTAGGCCAAAATTAGTTATGGAATGGTAAAGGATGGTACAATAGAAAGTTATCTTAACCCCCCACCTCCAAGAGGACCAATTGCATGCATGTCATGTGGAATAAAACTCAATTCTATATGGACATTTAGAAGAGAGTCGTGATAAATTGAGGGTTGAACATGAAAAGGATATTGGCTCCATTCCACTTTAGTTCTCAGCATAATCGAAATATATGAAGGTTGAAACGAGGAGTGAGGTTTCTAGAGATCATTTTTAAGGAAGAGCACTTGGAGAGAGAAGGAAAGAGGAAACCCTAGCCACGTACTTCTTCCACATCTTCTTCTTCCTTATTTTCTTCTTCTTCCTTATTTTCTTCTTCTTCGACCTCCTCACTTTATCTTCTTCTTCCACTTCTTAGCTTCTTGAATTTGATAGCAAGAGGATGAGAGTTCTTGGAGTTTTTTAAGAGGAAATTATACTTCCTTGCTCAATGAGAAGCTTGGACAAGCAAAGAGAACACTACAACAAACATCACAATAGTGAGACTTTCTTTCCACTGTGTTCTTTTAAAAAAAAAACTTCTAAGTTGATGTTACAATTATAGGATATGTTGATGTCAGAGAAATTAATAGGTTATGAGACCTTTTTCTTGGCTCCCCTAAACCATGAGTCTTTTTCAAAAGCCTCTCTTAATCGATTTTTATCAAAGTTCCAATAATCCTGTATTTGTTGTGATGGTTCCATCATTTTGCTAGTATGATGGAGCCTTTGAGCCTAAGGAATAGAAAAAAACCTGTATTTTTAATTCTCTAGGTCATGAGAGTTTTCTTCATGAAAACTCCTCATGCTTAAGTCATACAATTGGAAATGGGCATGATATTATCTTACATAATAATGTGTTGATACACCTAATCACCATTAAAACCCAACCCATGAGAGGTCGCCTAGATAGTTTGATTTGCCATCAAGTAGATCTAGGGTTTAACATTGAAGTGAGCATGTGTACATCTTTATATACATGTATAATTTTAAAAGTATTATATAAAAAGTACATTTTTGTAGCGTGCTTACGATAGTATTAAACATGTGAGAAAATGTGTTTTTACATATTGTTTGTGATTTGATATTAAGCATGTATAAAAATATTTTTTTTGCTCACGATTCACATTAAGCATATAATGTTATCAATTTTAAATGTAAGATCAAAATTAACCGTTCACTTTGACAATATTAAAACAAGTGGCATGCATAATTTCGATCATTTTTAAGATCATTTTCTAAAGCATCAGAATTTTCACAATGTAGGCCTCCAATCACATGAAAAGATGATTGTAAATCAATGTGCTAAAACTATTAAATGAGAGAATCAAATATGGCATATTGATAATATATTACATGTATTGGATGGTTTTGATTAGTGAAATATATTGGTAAAAATAATCTTTTGAAAGGTTTTTTATGTCATGAAATTATCCTTATATTTTTTACGTGCATGATAATGATTAAATCATCATGGAAATTGATGAAAGTCAATTGACACGTAATTCTTGTCTCTTATATCACCGTAAATAGTGGGATAATGAGTTCAAAATTACATAACAGGGTAAGGTGTAGAAATATGTTTGTAAAGACTAGTCACTTCGCCACTTGAGTGCTTTGTGCTTTACAAACAAACTGCTCACTTTTCAGCAAAAACATTCATTATTTTTTCAATTTCCCCCAAAAAAAATCACTTCATTCTAGTTTTTTTAAAAGCATGGTTCACACGCAAAGTGAAGCGAAGCGCGTGACACCCGCTTCGCTTTATTATTGTTCGGTATTTGCGAACGTGAAGTGCGCACATAACGTGTGAAGTGCGCTTTGAAGCACTGAAGCAAGTCATTCTAATTCACAATTTAGCGAGAGGAAATAAAAGATTCATCTAGTGTTTGAGAAGCGCATAGAGCAGATAGTCTAGTGTTCGAAAGTTTGAAGCGAACAAATTGTCGAGCATCTTCTTCAACTTCGGTCTAGAGTTTGAAGCGTGCTTGGAACGTTGTTGTCTTCCTCCAACTTTGGCCAAGAGTTTGAAGCATGCTTGGAAAACTATGGTCTACCTTCCAGCTTTGGCATAGGCCTTCAATCGTAAGAGGAAGACGCCAATAGCGGTTAGGGTTTGATAGGGTCTCCTTCAACCTTCGACCAAACATAATGAGACAATGAGATTTGTTGAGCCCGTGGGGGGAGAGCCTTCAACCTACAACCGAGATGCCAAGCTTGCCAAACTTGGGGGGAGAGCCTTTGGCCTTCAACCAAGTAAGATGTTCGACAAAACAGCTTGATCAATCCCGTAAGCAGTAGCCCAAAATATCTTATCTTAATTACTTTTAGGAAGTTTTACATACATGTCACTCAATTCTGGCAAGCATGATCATAGTTTGGGTGAGTACGAGTGAAATGGTGTCGAAGCCGATTTATAAGACAAAGACTAATGCACTTATTCTCTTAGTTTTTAGTATCAGTCATGTATTTACATCGCGTTGTTTTTTGCCCTTTGATAACACTATTTCGTTCAGCTTTCGACAACATGGATAGAACATTTTTATTTAGTTGCACATAAGTAGATATTTTAAAGTTTGATACACACTTTTTCACGGTTGTAAAAGCCATATATAATCCAAATTCAAGAATAAAATGCTATTTAACACTTTAATATCACACATTGGCAAGGATTAAAAGCTTCCAATTGCTTTTTTTCTATGAAACAAATCACCAGGCAAGGATCTGAATACGTTGCGCATCATCTTCAGTGTTGTGGAACCAAAATATAAATTTAAATTTTGAGAAAAAAACATTAAAAAGCATATAGAATCCCATATATATGTGTTGCGCATCCAAGTTGGTGTTGTCATATGCATACATTATTCTCCCTGTGCTTACAAAAGACGGAGAGTTTGCGCGCATGCGTATGCAGAAAACTGAGCAGTACTAACTAACAAAATAACTAAAGAAAACACATCTATAGGCAAGTTAAAGGAAACATTAGCCAAATATTACAGCTTACGCAAGAGCGGAACCTTAGATAGAGAGATGCTTAGTATTTCCCAACAAATAGTAGCCAAGCTTATGGTATCCTTCGGAAACTTTTTACCCCCGTTCAGCTGCTTCAAATGATAGTACATGCTAGTGATATCAATAAATGGTTCAATCTGTTCCACCAATATGCAAATACATTAAAGATTATATCAAGCAAAAATTACAAAGATATTAAAATATTCAAACTTACTATAAGGAAAAAATCCCACGCAATGAGATATCGGCATTAGAGTTTCAACATTGAAAATCTTATGAATGTTTCATATATGATATTAGAAACAATGTTTTGAAAGCAAGGAAAGATTTCGTTAATAACATATCCAGTATCAAAATAAAAATGATATTTTGAACAAAAATCATGATAATGCCATTATATATTGGATGTTTTAAATAAAGCATGGTACTTCCCCGAAATTAAAAAAAAAATTCAAAAGGTGGTTAGCTTTATAAGCAAGTCAAAGAATAAAAACGAGAATAATGAGGTACAATAAATATGAAAGGAATTAACCATTCTGAAATGATTGATGCTATTTCTCCAATATTCTCGAATATTCTATATAGTTTTATGTAGAAGATTCTAAGATATTTGAATTAAATGAAAATACTCAAAAATATTTAAAAAGGAAGAACCTACAGTGTTTTTCTAGACAAAATTGTAAAAATTTAGAAGATTCTAGATTTAGTCTCTCATGCCTATAAATAGGCATAACTTTGTGTAGATTTGGGAATGATATTATTGAGCAGCAAAAAAAAAGTATAAATACATGATACAAGGGTTATAGAAAATTAAAGATCTAATACCAAAATCTTTTCTAATAACACTCAAAAGATAAAAAGGAAAGGCATGAACTCGGAAACACATATAAAAGGAAATAACATGAAAGGTAACAAAATCAATAGAAATAATTTCTAATAAAATAGTTTATAATATTCCCCCTCAAGTTGAAGCATAGATGTCAATCATGCTCAACTTGGATCTGAAGTTGTCAAATAACACCGAGGAAGATTCTTTCTGAGGATATCTGTGAGTTGACCACTGGATGAGACAAATAGAACACAAATCTCCTTGGAATCGAGCTTCTCCTAATGAAGTGATGGACAATCTCTACATGTTTGGTGTGATCATGTTGAACTAGATTATGAGCAATGTTAATTGTGGTTTTATTATCATAAAACAGTTGTAGAAGAGCATAAATCGGTATACATAATTCTTAGAGCATGATGCGTAACCAGAACGCTTCACAAATTCCATAACATAGAACAAAAGTCAGCTTCTGATCCGCTTTGGGCAACCACCGACTATTTCTTGCACTTCCAGGTGACAAGGTTTCCCCACACGAATGAGCAATACCCAAAGGTAGATCACCTATCATGAACGAACCCAACCCAATATCATGCGTATAAACTACAATAGAACAAGAGATGTGGCGCGAGAATAACAAACCTAAGCCCGTGTGCCTTTCAAGTAATGGAGAATCTAGTGGACGATTGTGAGATAGTGCTCATAAGGGTCATGCATGAACTGACTTACAATATTTTCCGCGTAGCAAATATTGGGGCACATATAGGAGAGATAAATGAGTTTCCCCTCAAAGTGTTGGTGGTGTGTCTTGTTTACAGAAACAATATTCGGAACATCAGTCAATTTCTCATTGGAATCCATTGGAACAACCATTGGTTTGCAAAGTAGAACGTTGGTCTCTATCAATATGCCCATCACATACTTGCGTCGGGAAAAGCAAATGCCCCAAGAGGATCAGGGAACATCCAAGCCTAAGAAGTATCGAAGAGACCCCAAGTCCTTCAATTCAAAAGATGCGGCAAAGATGCCTTTAAGAGATTCTAAAGTTGGTAGATCATTATCTATGAGCACAATATCATCGACATAGATGATAAAGATGGCAATTTGGCCCTAGTGGAATGTCCAAAGAAGAGAGTATGATTAGATTGGGCCTGAGAGAATGCATGGCCCAATACCACAAGCGTGAAGTTGTCGAACCAGGCCCAAGGGGATTGCTTCAGTCCGCAGAAGTCCTTCAATTCAAAAGATAAAGCAAAGATGCCTTTAAGAGATTCCAAAGCTAGTTGATCATTGTATATGAGCACAATATCATCGACATAGACGATAAGGATGGCAATTTGGCCCTAGTGGAATGTCGAAAGAAGAGAGTATGATTAGATTGGGCCTGAGAGAACGCATGGCCCAATACCACATGCGTGAACTTGTTGAACCAAGCCCAACCGGATTGCTTCAGTCCGTAGAGGGACTTACAAAGTTGACACACTTGTCCCCGAGAAAAAGTAGACTGAAAGCCTAGAAGAAGAGACATGTGCCCCTCTTCTGTAAGATTTTCATTAGGGAAGGCATTCTTGACATCTAGTTGGAGTAAGGGTCAATCCAAATTCACAGCTAGGGATAACAGGACCCGAATGGTGTTCAATTTCGCAACCGGAGCAAACAGCTCCTCATAGGCAACTATGTGAGTTTGTGAGTAGCCTTTAGCGACCAAACGTGCTTTATTGCGTTCAAAAAATGCATCGGAGTTAAATTTGGTGTTGAAGATCCACCAGCAACCAACCCTTTCTTTCCCCAAGGAATATCAACACCATCCCACATATGATTTCGCCAAAGAGCATTCACCTCATCCATTACTGCAGCCTTCTAAGAAGAGTCCGACAATGCCACCTCAATAGTGAATGAAAGACGATGATCTGTCAAAGAAGTGACAAATGCCTTGCAGGTCAACGAAAAGTTGTGGAACAAGGCATATTTTACCATGGAAGAAAGAGAGTAAGCCTGATTATATACCTCAAGGGTAGAACTCATCTCCTTAATTGAAGTAGGAGTAATCTCTTTAAGTATATTGTCGTGGATGTCGGTCGGGGCGGATTCCATGTCCTACAATGAGACAGCAGGCTCAAGGGTAGGGGTATTGAGACAGGTCTCAACCGAGGGTTTGATGCACCAAGTATAGACACAAAGAGTGAGTGGAGTAGATGTTGGTCTTGAAGATGATGGATCTAGTGAGACAGATGGTTTATCCGGAGCAGTGGTTGAACGAGTAGGTGGCATCTCCAACAGAGTCGGGAAAGGAGCAGTGTTCAAAAAATCTAACTCCCTTGCACTTGAGTCAGTGTTGGGGAAGTAAGGAATACTTTCAAAGAAGGAGATATCGTCACTCATATAGAATTTATTTGTGATAAGATCGAGGCACCGAAAGCCCTTTTGAGTGGTAGAATATCCCAAGAAGATATTGTTAATTGACTGGGGATCAAGTTTACTACGAGTTGGGGCAATGTTTCAAAAAATGTCGTGCACCCAAATAATTTGAGGTCTAAAGTAGAGAAGAACCAATTTGTAGGAAAACGGGACCTCAAGACTGATGATGGGGTCCAAAATTTGTGAATTTTTGTGGGGACTCTATTGATGAGATATGTGGCGGTAAGTAAGGCATCATTCCAAAATTGTTTCGGGACATTCAATTGAAACATAATAAAATGAGCAATTTTAAGGTGTCTATTTTTCCGCTCAGCAATCTCATTTTGTTTAGGAGTATTCGTATAAGTGTTGTGATAGAGGACGCACTTACTTACCAAGAAAATCCCTAATATAGAGTTAAAAAATTCACTGTCATTGTCAGTCTGAAGGACTTGAATTGATGTTTTGGATTGAATCAAAATGAAAGAATGAAAATTTTTATAGGTGACAACAGCTTCAAATTTGTTTATTAAGATATAAACCCACATCATTCGAGTGTGATTATTAATTTGGGTAAGTAACCACCTCTTATTGGTGTAGCTAGGCGTTTGAGAAGTGATAGAGGCGAGGAATATACCTCGAATAACTTTAACAAGTTTTGTGAAAAAGAGGCGTTGAATGGAAACTCACAATTGGATATGCGCCAAAACAAATTGGAGGTTTTGAAAAAAAGAACATAACTATAATAGAGACAGCAAGAACAATGTTGATGAATATGGGTCTTCCAAAAAGTTTTTAGACAGAAGTTGTATATATTGCAGTCTATTTACTAAATAGATGTCCCACTAAAGCGGCAAAAGACAAGATACCAATTGAAGCTTGGAATGGAAGAAAGCATCCACAAAGCATTTAAGAATTTTTGGCTGTGTTGGTTACGTTCACGTTCCATAAGAAAAAGGAGTAAAATAGATGAAAAGAAAGAAAAAAGAATTTTATTAGGCTAAAGTGCTCAATCTAAAGAATATCGAGTCTATAACTTAAGAAAAAAGAAGCTTATCATTAGCCGAGATTTGAAATTTGATGAAGATGTTGCATACAATTTGAAGACAAAAAATGTTGAAAGGAGTATCAACATAGCACCAATAACATGTCAGTAAGTTGAAGAAGTCAATAATCAATCAGGATCATCAGCTCAAACACCTATACAACAGCCAGATCAAAATGCAGATTTATCTCCAGAATCACTATCCAGAAGAATAAAATCTCTAGTAGAAATCTATGAGCATTGTAACTGAACAATCATGGAGAAGCTTTGAAGAAGCATCAAAGCAAAAAGTATTGAGAAAACTTATGGAAAAAGAAATAAAGATGATCAAGAAAAATAAGACATGGGAGCTAATAGACTCTCCATAAGAAAAAGATGTAATTGGAGCAGGTGGGTTTACAAGCAAAAGCTCTGTCCTGATAAATCAATTCAAAAATATAAAGCAAAACTAGTTGTTAAGGGATACTCACAATAATTTAGAATTGACTATAATGAGACATTTGCTCCAGTTACACAACATAATACACTAAGAGCATTAGTTGCACTTGCAGCGCAAAACAAGTGGAAGATATATAAACTAAGTGTAAAATTTGTAGTTCTAAATGACTACTTAGAAGAAGAGATCTATGTTGAACAAGCTCCGGGGCTTATAGTACAGGTCAATTATAATATCTAATATATAATATGTCCATCGAAACAAAGATTAAGCATCTGAGCACAACTTTTTAAATTTCTAATATATAATTTTATTTCAATTATAATTGAATGGTGAATCGAGTTTGATGATAGTACTCTAAAGCTCAAATATTTTGCTATTAAAGTAGGACTTACATGCTTATCATCTACATATGAGCATAACTGAAAGACAT